TGGAGCGGGATGACCAGGAGGCTCGCAGAGAATTAGTAAGTAGTTCTTCTGGGTGCCTTTAAGCTGCCACTACTTAAGCTCGAACTATTATTAGTATTATTATTGTGTTTGATGCTTGTCGTATTTTAGTTGTCGACCTACCCACCCGTCAGTGATGCAAACACATCACAAGTCGAGGATGAGCCAATGGTGACCGTACTATCTGCCAGTGCATCTGAGGCGGATGGCTCGGAGCTTGAGGATGCGGAGAACCTTGTAGCTGCCGCGGACTATGCTGAGGAGGACGAAGACGAGGAAGATGAGGAGGAAGAAGAACTCGTTGCTGATGAGGAAGAATTTGACGAGGTTAACGAGGGCGAAGAAGACGAGGACGAGGATGATGACGAAGATGATGATGATGAAGACGATGACGAAGAGGTTGATGACGAGGATGAAGAAGAATGCGAAGTCGATGACGGCCAAGACGAAGATGAGGATGACGATGATGGCGACTCCTCCCAGCACAGTGATGACGTAAGTCCTCACTTGAATTTAAAACCGGCGGCTAATTTCTTTGTGGTACTCTGACACAGTGCTTTGTTCCACCTTTAGCAAAGTCCACCGCCGTATCCACCTTCACCACCGTGGTCAGCCCTTGTACGCAGTGGCAGTGGTGTGACGTCAACCAATACCGCTACCTCAGTTGTAATCAGTTCGACCGCCGGCGACGATAGCCACCCAGTTCGGGGCTCTAGTCGTGGCCTCTCATCTGCATCAGCCACTTCCTCGAACGAATCGCCGCGGACTTATGTCAGCGTAGCGAGAGCTGCTCCAACCCCGGGAACTAGCACCACATCCTCTGTGCCCCGACGGGTCGCTTCCACCATTAATCTACTCGGCGTGCCATCTCCAAATCAGTCCGCTGGCATTAACTATGTGGCTAGCGCTGACAATAAAGAGGTGTGTCTCTACGCGCGGTACTTCTGTTACTTGCTGCAGTCTTGCATTTTCTGCTAGCGCCTGCCTTTTAACTTGACCTTTCCAGAAACTGACTTCCTACGTGGCACCCACTTGACGGCAAGATGCCAAAGTCCTCCTGTCGCCAGTCGAGGGATTTTCTTTTCTTAAAACTGCTCTATAGTCTTGGTAAACGGATTAGATTTTAGGGCGTGTAGGGTTGAATTTCCTGCTTCCTACTTCTTCTAAACACCACCCTGAGCCCCTAAAGAGGTCTTACTTACGGCAGAGAAGAGACTGTAGGGTATGTAATCTGTTTCCTGGGTCGTAAAAACTATATACACACTTAAAGCCAAGTACAGAATCTGCGCAGGTTGGCTGTTTGGAACACGTTTTTTTTCTCTCACGAAAGCGCCGCTTCCGTATTATTTAACCACTGTACATCATGAAAGTCACAGTTACAATTTTCCTTCCCCCACACTCTCTGCGGCAGTTCGGGATGCACATTACTCAGATCCAATTGAGCCGTGCGTTTGCATGCCTCATTCGTTTACTGGCGGATTGCATGGTCGACCTGAACAACGAGCATGCGGCATCCAACCTTCTGCGCCGGTGTGTCTCAGCGCCAGTTTTCCTGAGTTCCCTGCCAACCGACCCCTCCGCCGCCGCCGTCAAGACACCCTTCTCCTTCAACACCGACGCCGCCGCCGCCGTCC